GGGAGGGAGGGAGGGAGGGAGTCTTGTTTTTGCATATATGCACACTGCCAGAAGCCACACTTAAAAGAAAAGAGGAAAATGAGCAAGGCTAGGATTTAAAAAAGAAAGAATGAATAACGACTGGTTGAAATTAATTTCCTGTAAAATAAGGCACCCTGCTTATAATATTAATTGATCCTATATTTGCTTATTCAAACCATTCTCAAACAAAGCATACTTTTTAACACCTACAAAAACACAAGTTCAGATTTCCACACACATCCCCGGAAGGAAGGAAGGAAGGAAGGAAGGAAGGAAGGAAGGAAGGAAGGAGGAAAGAAAACATAACTTTGAGATTTTAATGAGAAGCCCTATAGAAATGACATTACAGTAAATATGATAGTCTGCCATATATAGCACAGTGGGGTAGGAGAGGGAGGGGCGCTACTGCCGTTGCTTCTGCCCCCCTGAGAGTGAGGATATAGAAGGATATGTATGGAGTCCCAGACTACATAAGGATCTCCATCCATAGACTCCTGAAGGATTTCTCTAGAGTCCTCCATTGCAGTGAGGCAGAAGCAGCTTCCTTCCTTTAAATGTCTGCTCTTTCTAAACAATACCTGCTCTATCCTGGAAATATACAACACCTTCCCATCACATAGATATTTGGGGGAAAGGGTACCAATCTTCATCTTCCTTTTGATATACTCTAAGATTTTAAATCTTAGAATTTAAAATCTTCATCCTCCCTTTTTTCAGTTGACCAATTCCCATAGTCCCCCTTAAGCATGGCTGGTTGGGGAATATGTCATTGGAGTCCACCACTCCTGAAGGGTTGGGTTTACAGAGGTTCCCACCAGGAGCTCCCAGTTCCATCCAGATGACCTTAAAGCCAAGCTTATGAAGTAAAGGGGTGGGCATTTGCAAGGATACACGAAGACAGACAATGCTGCTCAACTCAGTATAGAATGAATGGCTACAGGAACTACTTTTATCTTCCCAACTGTGAGCTTATGTCAGGAGCCATTCTGGGTGATGGCCACAGCTGCTGCTTTGGAACTTTGGTTAGAGTAATAGATGAGACCTGCCAGGTGAATTCCAGAGATTTTACAGAGACTGCTTGGAATAATAGAAATTGTATCCTGTTTTGGAACTGCTGGCTATGGTAGAACTGGAGAACCTCCTACTGTTCTTAAATATAGCCTTCATACTTTGCAGATTGTTCTGGGAGGGAAATATTTCCTCATTCAAGGAGAATTGAGAGGTTCCTCATCCTAGAGCTCCATATGTACAGAAGTAGCAGAATTCCACATCTTCTCCATTCTCAGTGCTCTTAGAAACTTCATCTAGGAGAAGCTTAGGAAATTGTTGTGGATGTATAGGGAGCTTTCTACTGAGCTAAGAATTAAAAGGGATGTGTATAGGAAATGGAAGAGGTGTACCAGCAAGAAGCTAATCTCTTCAGAAAAACAGGCTAAAATGCAAAAGACTAACAGGCTTGCAAAGGAAACCAAAAACAGCATAAAAGGATGACTGTGTTACTAGTAAAAAGAAGAAGAAGGAAAGGCTGGGTCTGCTGCTAGGACAAGATGGTAAGACAATAACAGGTGACAAGGAGAGGACAGAGCTCCTCAATCCTACCTTGCTTCAGTCTTTTCCCTAAAGCAGTGTTTCTCAACCTGTTGAAGTCCACACATCTTCAAGTTGCCAAGGTTGAGAAACACTGCCCTAAAGGAAACTGTTCAAACGGATCTAAGCAGAACAATGAACAAAAGGAAGGAATAACAATCCAAGATAAGTAGAGGTGGTTAGGGAGCACTTGACTATCACAAACAAGTATGAGCTCTGGCCTTAGGTTTCTTGTAAGTTCTCTGACATACTAAATATGAGAAGAAACTTCTGCATTTTGATTAACTGTAAGTTTTTTTATCTGCTACTTTCTACATTGCAAGTTTTTATCTGTTGGGGAAGATGTTGCTTGACTGCTTGGATGTATCTGAACAGTGATTGATTGAAGCCCAAAGCTATTTCCATATTGAGACAGAGATGGGTAAATGAAGCATGTGTTCTGCAAACATAAAGGCACAAATGTCTGCTTGCTTCTTTGTACCCCTTACCATCCCATTAAAGCCTGACTGAAGAGTTGGATTGGAAAATGGAATTCCCACTGACCAACATTTTATCTCATGCAGAATGTAGATCCTTTCCTTAGCTGGAAGATTTTATTCTATCGTGAGGTAAACATTAGATATTTTCCTCCTTTCAAGACTTGGACAACAAGCTTCCAAAGGGAGTGGGATTTTCCTCTATTTGTGGAGTCTCTTCAATGATTTGGAATTCTATGTGCTACAGAGCAGCCTTTTCCAACCTGCCCTTCATAATTATTACAATGCAACTTCCAGTGGTTCACTTTTCCTTTTCCTTTTTTTTTTTTGTCCTTCCCCAGTCCAATGTGATCCTCTAAACCAGTGGTCCTCAGTCTGGAGAGTGACAGGTTGAGGAAGGTTGGCGTAAAACACTGGACTAGGACAAATCCTGGGTTGGCTATAAGATTGACATCAGCCCTTCAGGGTGGGGTGACTCAGGAAACAGGCATGGTAGAGATTCTGGGAATGCTTTCTATTGTAATAAGGCAGAATAACAGAATCCTGAGTGTTTTCAAGTCTCTCTCTGTCCCATCTTATTCTAAACAAAATCAAGGCAGGGTTATTTCAAGTTTCTTTCTTACTCTTTCCTCTTTCTCAGGACTGAGTAATCTTTTTTTTAAAGTCTCCCCTTAATGTCTCTCTCACTCCTTCCCTATGGCCAAGATCAGCTCAATGTTCCTTAAAGTATTGGATTAAGAGTGGGGAGACCCAGATTCTAATTCACCTGCAGCTGTGGAAGCTCTCTTGGTGACTTTGGGCCAGTCACTCACAGTTAAACCTACTCATATAGTTGTTGTTGTGGGAGAAAAAGAGAGGAAGGAATATTATGCATTCTGTCTAATGCTCCTGAATAATGGTCAGGATAGAAATCTAACAAATAAATATATCAAATGGGAGCAGGGAAAATGATATAAGAGAGATGTTGTGTGACCAAAACAACACCTGAATTTTTTTATGCATTATGTTTTGAATTACATGCAGTTTACTGAATGTTTCATTCATCTGTCAAATTATAGCTAGTAATGAACCATTTGCACAGACAGAAGTACAGAGTATATCGTTATAACAATTAACAGTTACAATTCTATATATACCTGTAAATGTAAATAATATTCAAGTATGTATATATTAATTTCTAATAAACCTATCATTTTTTTTTTTAACCTACTGTATTTTGTATAAATGAGTTATATAATCTTATAGCCAGTGCTACTATTTGGACAACTGCCTTAGACAGCTGATAATGTGTATTAGTAAAGAATAACTTATTGTTATTTATTTTTGTTTTTATTTTTACTGTTAAGGCATGGAGGAAAAGAACTTTTACAATTTTTTTTGCCTCGGTTGGATATATGAACTTTGTCTTGGGGAGTGGGAGACAGCCTTACAAAGCCAGATGCCTCGGGATGGCTCGGCTATTATCATTTAGAAAACAAGATAAATATGATCCAGAGGCAGTCCCAGCTATATTTTACATTGGACTTAGAATGCATCAGCTCATAGTATCCTTTAGTGTACAGTACATATATTCTGTTTTTTTCCCAGATTGGAAAAATATTTGGTATAGTTTTATTTATTTGTTATTATATAATCTTACATCTTTATGTGAACATCTTAAAATATGTCTGTGATGCTCTTACTCTTATTTCCAGTTTGTAGTGAAAAAGCTGAGGCTCAGAGTAAGTGCTTAAGCAGAGTGACATTTGAATCTGGTTTCTTCTGTGAATCTTTTATACAGAAATGCGGTAAAATATTCTAATACAGATTTACTATTTTTTAAAAAACATGTTTTGCAGAGAGTTGGATTGAAAGATGCCTCAGTGAAAGTGAAAACAAACGTTATTCCAGTCACACATCTCTGGCAAATGTTTCTAATGATGAAAGTAAGTATGCTTTATTTTCTATAGAAATATATAGATTCTCATTTGCTGGAAAAGACTTAAAGTTTATAATGTCTGTAAAGATATGGAAAGCCATGCAGCACCCATTCTCATCTCCAAGCAGAGAAAAACCTAGAGTTAAATGACAAGTGCATCAGCCAGAAAAACAGCTTTTTTATATTTATAATATTGGACAGCTCAGTATATATGGGGAGAGGGACCTAAAGATAAGCCATTAGAGACTAGCTTTGTAGATGAAGCCTGAATCTCCCTTCTGGAACCAAAAAAAAAATGCTCATTGGAATGCTTGAATGAAGGTTCTTTGCCATCAATCAACAGGAAATAATTGCCAAGGAATTGTACACCTTCCTGAGAAGAGCTGCTATAAAGAGAATTCCTTGCTGAACGTTCTGATCATATATAAATTAACAGCTGATTCCCAACTCACCAACTTCCACAACTATTCCAATGGTGGCTCCAGCTCAGATGTGAAATGATTTCATTGTTTTCTTGAAACTCTTTGCTAACGACCAATATAAAGGCTGGCTGCTTAAGAGGAGATTCTCTGTGGGGTCTCCTTCCACATGGAATAGCCTGACAGAGAATGGTCTCAAGTAACCTGGTCAGAGGCTGGAGTACAATGTCTCTGAATGCACAGTAGGAGTTTGTGAGGGAGTGTGATGGAAGAGGCAGGGCGTCATTTTAGTGCTCTACCAGAAAACAGTGCTTGTGCCTCCATTTCCCTTTTGTGTGGAGAACAAGGACACTCTGGTGGTTGTGACTCTGTTCATCGTTTCTTTTTGGAGGCTGCAAAAACATATTGATCTACTCATGCATGCAGAGGGCATGAATAGGGCAAATGTGAACATTTCCTTAAGAAGCAGTAATGCTTCAGGAATGAGAGGGGAATGCCTGGGTTTCAGACTGTTACTTGCCTGTGGGAGGCACCATTGGGAATGGGAGGGAGAGTATTAGAGCAGTATGGCTAAAGCAAGAAAGAGTGTTCAAATATGGCAATGGGAGAGGGGCAATCATAGGAGATACGCATGTGTGCCTCCCTTCCCTTATTTAATTGTATAGGGCAGTGTTGTCCAAACTTGGCCACTTTAAGATGAGTGGACTTCAACTCCCAGAATTCCCCAGCCAGCCATGTTTGGACAACACTGGTATAGGGTGTTCTGTCCTGGTACTCCTTATTACTGGAATGGAATGAAGGCTATTCATTAAAACTCTAGAAGCAGAGCTGGATAAATGTTTAAATTCGTACAAGGCTCAGATAACAATCTTTGTGGGGAAAAAATGCTTTCTTTAAAGAGCCCTTTCCCTTCTTTCTTACAATTAGAGATCTTCTAGTATGCTCAAAATGGGTGTAAAATGAATTCAGAGAGCTATAACCTTGTGTCATGCATGCTGCCATCTGAGTTCTGGCATCCTTGTCTTGGGTCTATAGTCTGGCCGCAACCTACTCCCGAGTCCTCAAAGCAGCTCCATCTAGGAAGTTCTGCTGATGATCCTGTGCAGCTGGGGGGCATCTGGAGTTCTGTCTGTACAGCGGGGTTTCCATCAAAGCCTGAAGGCCCATATCTGTATCAGTCTGTATAATTCCAGCACAGGATTGTGCCTTAAGATATTAATGTTGTATGATTTATTTTCTTATTTATTTTGCTACTATATTAAGTATGAAATTTTTAGCGGGCAGGATATAAATATAAAAAATAGGAATCCTAGCCATGTTGATTAGGATTCTAAAATGAACAGTTTGGAGTTGCAGAAATAATATAACAAAATCCTATTTTAGCCTCTGTAATGTAATGATGAGTATGAATTGTGCTTTCATTTGGGGATTTGTTCAGTGTCAACACTGTATACGTTTACTGAGAACCAAATCCAACTGAGTTCATTTGGGCAGACCTCCCAAATTGTATATGTAGGACTATAGTCTTACTGATATGGGATTTAAGCTAAGCTTAAAGGAAGAAATGTAGCAATTCAAAAGAAAAAAAAACTTCTCAAGACCCAATCATTTCATTACTCACTGCTGAATGGATGTTCTCCATAAAAGTTATATTTTAGGTGATTTGAAAGTGATGTGTTTTCTTTGTGGTGACTCATTTATGAGACAATCAACAAGTGGGACGTTGAAATTTGTAGACTTAGCTAAGGCTATGCATTATCTTTCCTATGCAGAAAAGCTACAGTGATTGAGGCTTAAAAAACATAAGCATAGGAATATAATAGAGTTTATAAAATAGTATAATAATAATATAGTATAAAAACTTAAATCTCTTACCCATATGAATAAGTAATGTTCCACAGATGATGGTAATAGCCAAAAGCTTAGATGGATTTATAAAGAGATTAGACTGATTCAACTGTCAAGCTTGTATGACAATTTGTCTTAAATGTTTTCTCATGATTTGTTTGCTTGTTTCAGTGGCCTACAGCCACACTGTCCATAAATAGCCAGTGGACTCAGTTTACTGACTAACATAGGTGATGTCAAAACTAGCTATGAGGTAGTTCAGTGCACTTTAACTCATGTTTGTTAAACTGATGTCAATCTCCTAGCCTTTGTGATATCATTGGCTTCATAGCCATCTTAGGTCAGGGAGCCATGTTTAAGGTACTGCCTCTGTAAAGATTTGCATTTGGATGATTCCCATTTGAAACAGATTAATGCGAAAGTCTTAAGCAATTGAGAGTACTCTTGTCTCCTCAATGTCTGTGAATGGGAAAGAAAAACTACCCATGAGGGAAGGGGATCAGATATATCAATCAGTACCAGGTACTGTAACACCACTGTTCCACTTCAGTGCCATGCCACAGAATTGCCCTGAGGAAGGACTACTTATTGTTCATCAAGGTGCATCCTCAGAATTGTAACTCTCAGGAGGACAACAGAGCCATCTCCATCAGCCCAGTCCACCTGACCCCCACACTATTTGCCAGCTAGGGCTGCTCACCTCACTCTTAATCTTCCAAAAAGCAGTTGAACCCACAGAATCAGACCATTAGTCTGTCATCCAGCCTTTTTATATTCCTCATTGTCCAACTGTTTATATGCTAATCCATTACAGACAATAGTAAAACTTGAAAACACTGTCATAATTACATTTTCTTGTCAGGCAAAGAAAGGCCTGACAAATACCCCTGTGCTCTAGGAATAGCATCATTGCACCTGCTCTGAAAAGTGTCTTGGATCAATACTCCCCTGCATTTGCCCTCCACAATGCCACCCCTAACAGAAAAGGACTTTTCTGACTTGCTAGAACACATTTGAATAGGAACCTCAACACTGAACGTATGAATGACTGCCTTTTCTAAGAACAAAGAAATGTTCAGAAATATTCTTCAAAGGGAACAAGTTCAATTTTTTCCACTGTCTCTAAGAATGGGGTTAAAATTTAATGTTAACAACATTAAAATCCCAGAAATCCTGACGTTGTTGTGATTTGTTCTGGGGCAGCCAGAGATGACAAGAAGGAAAGGTGGTGGAAGGAAATGTCAATTCTAATGACTGATTATAATAGAACCTTTAGACTCTAATGTCATTTTCAGCCAGTGTGTTTGGGTTTAAATAGTCACAACTGCAGTAAAGAGAGAGAATGAGAGAAGGTGCTACATCTCTGTGGCACTTGTAAGAGGTCCATTTTCCTATATGTAGGAAGTCCTGCCATACCTTTTCTCCAGAGTCAAGTCTCTAAACAGGAAAGGTAGCTTGGTGATACAATATGATGAAAGGATATGGAAGGGTAGGACGAGATGTAAACATTTATTTCCATTAGGCCCCAAAGAAGGTATTCATAGGAACACAGGTGCCCAGAGGCATCAGATTGTATAGCCTGGCATTCATTTAAGCAATCATTCTGATTTTCATGATCTTCAAGTATATTTGCATATTTCAAGGTTTCTTCTGGGGAATTTGAGAATATTCCTAACAGTGGAGTTTCCTCATGCCCCTGTCAAGTGCTTCAGCATCTCAGCTGAAAGAATGTCCCCTGATAGTGTTTTCTCTCAACAGATGAGGAGAAAGAGAATAATAGAGCATCCAAACCACACTCTACCCCAGCAACTCTGCAATGGTAAGATCTGTTTCTTGAAAAAAGCAAATTTATTCTCAAGCAACTATTTTCAGGCAAACTAGAAATATTCAAGAGTGTGATAAATATGTAGGAATGATTTTGACACTGTTGCATTGCTCTGGATTACTGAATACATCAGAATTCTATCTTATGTTCATTAAGTATGGCTCTGTGCTTAGAATTCAGTATCTGAGGATTCATTTTTTCTTTAAAAAAAGATAAAGGAACTGTGCTTTGCCTGATAGAATTTCAAAGGACAAATAAATAGTTCTAGTTTGGGGTTAGCTTAGCTCTAGCAAAGGCACTATAAGTAACACAACAATAAATGTATAGACATAAAAATGTTCAGTTATATCTCTTCTGGCCACCCATCTAATCACTGGAGACACAGGAATGCAGAGAAGGACCTCTGGAAACTGATTTGTTGAGCACGTTCATATTCTTTTCTGAACTTCTCCTCCCTTAAACTGTGCTAGCAATTGGTTAATCTTTCCCAAATAGTTAAATAGCAATTTGTTTTTATTGGGATGTTGTTTTTGTCCAGCAACTAATGCTTTGGATTACTCCATGACTCCTCAGAAGGTGATTGCTTAGTCTTTCCTATAATTTGATGGACTCATTTTAGCCAAGTTGCCACAGCTAATTATCTCATAAAGCTCTTCTCCCAGAAGGAAGAAAGCCAATAATGGTAGCATCCTTAATCACAAAGGTTGATAAATCCCTGAACTCCTGGGATATTCAGCTTGTTGGAATGTAGCCATCATTTGCCACTATGTCCCAATTGCCTGAGAGAGGCAATGAGCCATTTTATATCATCCAGTCCACTACTTTCGTAGCACAGCTGCCTTGCTGCCTGTTTGTCCCTGCGCTTACAGTATATTTGCCCTAGCTGTCCTTCTTTGGGCTCCCTGCAAAAGAACTTCATGATCCCTAGAGTACAATATGTTGAGAATAACCATAACCTTGATTGTTCTTCTGCATTTTGTTCTAAGCTGCTGTATGCAATCCAGATAAACTATACATGTTTGATCATATCTTCAGCTTGTAAGTCCATGCATTTCTATGATTGTGAACTAAAAGCACCAATATTTAGGGAAGGAATGACACAACATTCTAATAGGCCCGCAGCACTTCACCTCTTCCTTTTTTAGGCAAGGTGAGAACTGCAATTGGTCTGGTAAGGGGGAGTCTGGAGTGGCAGGGACAGCATTTGAAAGGGGACGAGAGGAGGCAAAGTAGTTATAGCAGTGTGCCAGCCAGTCTAAACTATGTATGTTGCTAACATAATTTGACTTGGTCCATATATCATGCTTATTCATAATATAGATTGCTTATTTGTGCTTAGTGTGATGTGTGAACTCAGCCTATTGTGGCTTATTCAGCAAATGATGGTTAAGCAAACTACAGCTTAGCATGGTGTATGAACCTAGCTGGTGTCAGTTCTAGCTTCAGCAGCAATGTTCATCTCTGGCCAACATTTTGGGAAGACCAATGAATGTGGTGGCAGCAACCTGAGTGAGCTACATCCTCTGCATCTCATTTCAGATTATTTGGCCCATGCAATCAAGGCTGAGCAGAGGTGATGGAGCCCAACCTAAACAGCTGAGTGAGATGGAAGCTGCAGGGGTTGAGTATGTGTTGATGGGGAGGAGATAGCAAATAGAAAAGAGACTTTAGAAAAAACAAGGGCAAAGAAGTGGGGAGATTGGCTGTGAGCATGGGACGGTGTATTTCTGTGCATCTGGTTCTTTACTTTGCAGATTAATTGGTTATATATGAGTTTTGAACTGGCTACCATGGATTTCATGCATTTTGTTCTCTTAAATAATCTACCTTTTGTCAATGGTTTCATTGATTATTCCACAGCAAGTGAGTCAGACACTTTTAATGCTCCCTATATCTGACACAGAACCTGGAATGTCTTAAGTTGATCTATGTTGGCCTGACACCAGGTATGTAGGGATTACTGTTAAGAATCTTGTAGGAATTTGAAATAGGCTAATATTGTCATAGCCATCTGGTACACTATAAGGAGAGAAATTTAAAGTATAAAACACAAAAAAGATACATGAATGGCCCTAGAAACAACATAAAAGAAAAAAAGTTCATTCAACAGAGGCTCAACCTTCACTCTGCTCTAGAGCCTAGGACAATAACCATGCTTTAATAGCTTCATGAACATCATCAGGGTGGGAGCCAACCAGATCTCTGGGAAGATATAATTCCAGAGGGCAACATCTGCAATAGAGAAGACACTTCCTGGGCCCCAGAAGATGACACTGCTTAAGTGATAAGATCTGGAGCAAACCCACTCTGCCTGATCACACCAGATGTACAGAAACAACTGGAAACAAGCAGTTCTTCAAATAACCAGGCCTTGTGCCATGAAGGACTTTATAGGTGATAACTAACACCTTGAATTGTACCTGGAACTCCACTGATAACCAGTGCAGCTTGAAGAACAATGGGGTCACATGTATATAACAAAGCATACGTAACACTGCCCATGCCACTGCATTCTGGACCAGTTGTAGCTTCTGAACAGTCTTTGAGGGGAGTTCCATGTACAGCACATTACTGTAATCCATTTGTGAGGTTTCTACAGCATGAGTGACTGTCTGAAGGGCCTCCTGGTCCAAGAAAGAGTGCAACTGGCACACTAGGTGTACCTGAGCAAAGCCCTCTTGGCCACAACTACCACTTGCTCTTCATCTTGCGAATCCAAGATGACCCCCAAGTTGTGCACCAGTCTTGAATGGGGAAGTGCAACCCCATCCAAGACCAAAGATGGAAGATCCTCAGAGCCAGGAGGTCCACTCAGTCTTATCAGGATTGACCCTGAGTCCGTTTCTCCCCATCCAGATCTGCACAGCCTCCAGATACTGAGACAGGACTTCGGTAGCATCACTTGGTCACCCCCAGGACCGAGATGTATAATTGGGTATTACCAGCACACTGATGATATCTGACCCTGAACAGATGAACAACCTCACCCATGATATTGCACAAATGACAGTTATGTAATTCATTATGTGACTGATCCAAATAACATAATTTGAATCATTTGCACAATGATGTCATGATACAGATGATGTCACTTGCTCTCCTTGTCCCCTGAGGATACCCATGAATTTTGGAAATATTGGAGTGAATGACTATTATTTATCCTGGGTTCTAGCCTGTTACCACTCAGCTCTATAGGAACATTTGAAATGAAATTATGCAAACGTATGCAACACAAAATGCAATTTTGTGAATATCTAAAGTGGTGCAATATGTGTGTATGTGTGCTAATAAGTTCCTTTACAATTTCCTGAAGTCAGTGGTATTTCTTTTAGCAATTCATTTTGAAGATTTCTAAAACATGAAAGAATGTCCAATAGAAATGGTGGTATGAACCACTCTAAGAGTTGCTACAAAGTAAACCTGCAGAGGGTCTGTGCAAGTCAACATTGTTGTAGAACAAAATAGATAGCCTGAACTTGTATTTATATCTTTTATTTGTATCTTGCACCATCTCAGTGATTCTTTTCAAAGACTAATATGTACCCAGATCTTCCTGAAAAGAAGCATTCTCACATTTCATTGTGAGATCTCACTAGGTAGAGTTTTCCTTCTCTTCTTTATCCATCACTTTATTTTTACTACTGAAAAGAAGTATACATTTTGCTTTGGCAAGCATAAGAGAAACAAAATGGATATTTCAATTTAACCCTGTCCTTATGAGATTTTGGAATCTCCAAAGTTAAATAACTTGCAGAAGGGAGGGGAGAGGCCTTGAAATTGCCCATCAACTATTAAAAACTGGAAAACAAACTGGCATGCATGTCATCTCTAATTCCCCATCCCACCCCCCCTTTGGGAAATAAATCTCTACCTAAAACATAACAATGATTTCTAAGTCTACCTGTACAAATAGTATCTAAAATTCTGCATTCTGCATTTTTCCTTTTTTTTTTTTGGAGATGCATTTCTTCATGGGGGGGAGGCATAAGCAGCTATCTTAAGAACATTTGCTTAATAGATTTCAACCTTTCAAGGATAGCTGTGTTGTCCACAGGCCATTTTAACAGAACAGGTGTGGGAAAGGAGAAAACAAAGATAACAGTGGATATCAGGGCACCATAATCAGTTTGATCCAAAAGGGAAAGAAGTCAAGTACTGTCAAATTATTTATTTTTCTAATTATGCTTTTAAAAATACCAAACTAGAATTTATATTATGCTACTTGAACCTTCTCAAAGTTTATAGTAGGTTTCCTAATTGCAGGGAAGAAAATGACCCAAGACTGAGATCGATCACTTGGTACCTGGAAACCAAGGCAGGGGGTCCACAGTGTATGGTAAGAAAAAGTCAAGATGGTGGCCATGATGGTGTAATCAAAGCTCCTTATGTTTTTTATGTGTGATGCAAATAAAAAACAGGTGGAGATTCAATCATACTGCCATGGCTACTGACTTGACTTTTTTGAACACACCCTGAGATACCCCTGGACCAAGGCATTGATAGACATCTGGCCCCAAATGCAGAGTGCTATCTCCCCCGGCATTTTTCAACTCTTCCCTTTATTCTATCTCTCTTGGTTTTGTTAGTATGTGGAAGAGATGCAATACTTCAGAAATCAGAAAGAAAATCGATGGGAAAGATTATGGTGTGCTAGCGCTCCAAAGACTATACTACTTGTATATCTTACAGCTCTTTATGGAACTGAAATAATGCTGAACTACAATGAAATGTACAGTTGCTGAATGCATTCTTTAGTCAGATACATTCCTTTTTAATCCAGATCAAATCTGGGCAGCATAACATCCATTAAATTCTACAGCTCTCTGTATTGTGCCTTCTAAGTGACAGATGAGTACTTTATTACAGTAGTAGTGCAAATCAGAATAACAGGAGGTTCTGGAGAATTATACCTGGCTGCTTAATACAGTTCATTTAACTACAATTTATTTAATAAACTACAATTGGGAGATCTTTCAGTATGCTAAGCCATAAACCAAGGATTATGAACCATAATGATTGTAATCACACAACATACTAAGTGAATTCCAAACAAAACAAATTATAGCGGTGTTTGCTGTGTGAATCCAGGCTCCATTCTAATGAAACACCAGTTCTATAACCCTGATTTACATGGATATCTAAGAATTATATAATGGAATGCAAGTGAATTTGTTTAGCACATTCTGTGAAATATGCTGCAATGCTGTACAGAATTTTAAAGATAATACTTTAAGGACATTGCTGGTAAAATAAATAATCCAAGTGCATTACAACACTGTAGGCTAGTCCAGAATTCAAAACATGACAAAGTTTTCTCTCTTAGACAAGACAAAAAATATGTAAGGCCAGTCAATGACCAAGATGGCTTTTGATCATTAAAGAAAAGTTCAGATATAATAGAAGATTGTTTAGCACAGACTAATGGCTCCCCGTGAAAGAATGGAGAAAAAGGGGGAAAAAATCATTAGATATTATGAAGAGAAATAATTGAGAGTCTTTCTTCCTGTCCTGTCTTGGTCAGAGAAATTGACGTGCCAATTAGCACCTATGGCATGCAAGCAAAGTCTGTGCCTTGAAAAGAGGTTTTGTTCAGGGTCTGTATATTTGGGGGAAAATGCAGCAATGATATTGTGGTAGACAGAAAATAAGAATAGATGCTGCCCTTAGAAACCAATTCTATTCGATCCCTCCAATACCTTATTGAAATAGTTTGCTGAAAGAAAAAAAATGATCATTGTAACGCTAATATAGTATTAGGGAGGATATATCTTGCTATATTGTTTGATCTCCAAACAATACAGCATGACATATAAATCAGTTTCTCTAAGACAGGTCGCTTCTAATTGGCTCACATTGTACTTTAAGTTATTATTATTTTCAAATCCATATTTTTTGAATTGTCACTTATGTTTAAGTCTCAGTTCAATAAGATATTATACATAACTACAGTAGGGATGGAAAGCTACATTCAGCCTACAGTATTAGACATCTAATATTCTCCCTAGGCCATGTCCCCAACTAGTTTGCCCTTCACCGACCCAAGCATGCACCTTCCACAACCCATCCTTCCGATGTTATTGAACATTATCAAACTTATTCCTAGCAGTGTTAACATTAGAGAGAAGATTTAGGGGAGTGCTTTTCTAGAAGTCACAGCCTCTTCTGGAATGTCCAGCCCTCTAGTGATGTTTCAAAGGATCCATGCACTTCCAAAAATAGATGTAGGCAGCCAAAGAATTGCAAGAAGAGTTCTGGGTACTGCATGACATAATCAGAGTTGCTTCTTTTAGCTCTTGCCTAGGACAAATCATCCAATTGGTAATGATCCGTATGTGGGCAACCAAGGTAAGAATCAAGGCTGCCTAGGACTGACAGTTTTACCAAGGGAGTTGTTGGGCTCTCCTTTGCTAAACGTATTCAAGCAGAGGCTGGACAGCCATCTGCTGGCGATGTTTTTATTTGGATTCCTGCACTGAGCAGGAGGCTGGACTTGGTGACCTAAATTAGTTTTCCAATTCTATGATTCTGTCTTGGCTGGAATTATTACAGCATGAAGGATAGATGCTGTGAATGGGATAAAGTGAGAATGGGAAGGAAGGGAGAAAGGATAACAGAAGATTAGACTGAAGAGATAAGTGACCAGGGGTGAATCGTATATGAATGTAATTGTGACTCCATTTGTATATGGGTCCCCTGAAGATAATCCCATCCTTAGGTCTTTGGTCCTCAGGTCAAAAATAGTTTCCAACTCTGGATTAAGACAAAAGATGTGCTGTCAAGGCTTACTTTTGATATCTGCTTAGGTAGCAGGGTGGTTTAGATGAATTATATTACAAATGAAGTGCATGTTTTGTTTTTCCCATAAACATTGAAATAGAACACTGAAAACAAATTCCAGAGGGGTAATTATGTGTATTACTTCTGCTGTAATAGGCTGTAGTCCTGTAGCACCTAGAAATGCCAGTAGAATTACTATAGCATAAGCTTTTGCAGGGAGGGTACATAAGGAGCACATTGGAAGAAGACTGATAAATGGCTGTCTTGGAAAGCCTTTGGGGATTGATGGTATGGCAGGTCCCCTATTTGCAATACACAACTGTTGGTGCAAGGACTGTTGTCCTTGGTGGTTACTGGCTAGGAAATGGATTGTTACTGGTTTGGGGGAGATTGGAGATTTATTTTTTCTTTTAATTCTTTATACAGTATTTTACTTTAGTATCATAAATGATATTACAGAGTCATTTTGGAATTGAGTTACATATAATCACACAAATAAATAATCATACATTATTAGCTAATGCATCTCAAATTGCATTCCTTTTATTCATTGGTTGGATTCACACATTGACATCTTAAGTGATAATTCATAAATGGAGTGACTAGGTTCATACCTTGCCAAAATTAAACAAATTACATTATAATTTAACATGTGCAGCTTATCAGAAAATAGTAAACTGCTAGGAATATGTCTGTTTATGATACTCTTTAAACATGTGCAAATTCAGTCCCTGGATGATTTATTCATTAGGTGACAATCTACCACTTGCTGTTCATTTCTGAGTAGACTCATGCAAGTGTATGCTTGCTCTTCTCAGTGAGAGAAAGTATTTTTAAGATTGAAAGTTGCTACATAATATGTTGTAGTATTCTGGGGCTGATTTTCATCTACCTGTATATAAAAGCATCCAAAGTAAAGAATAAGGGGTGATAGAAATAAAGGATTGAGTATTGTCATAAGACATTAAGAGACTGCAGGGAGACATGACAGCCTTCTTCAAGTATCTGAAAGGCTGCCATATAGCAGACAGGGCAGAGTTGTTCAAAGTTGTTCCAGAAGACAAGATAAGAAATGATGGGTTTAAAATGACAAAAAAGCAGATTTCAGTTGGACGTCAGGAAGCATTTCCTAATTGTAAGACCTGTTCAGCAATGGAACAGATTACCTCGCTGGAGGTATTTAAACAGAAAATGGATGGCTATCTTGTCAAAAACACTATGGAACTGGAGTCCTGCACTGATCAGGGGTTAGTCTAGATCGGTGTTTCTCAACCTTGGCAACTTTAAGACGTGTGGATTTCAACTTCCAAAATTCCTCAGCCAGCATCTTAAAGTTGCCAAGGTTGAGAAACACTGGACTAGATCAAGGAGCTTCCAACCTTTACATTCTATGATTCTATAGGGACAGGAAAACAAAATTCAAATAAAATCGCCAGTTTCAGAACTTGTTATGCATGCAAGCCTATATATCCTTGTGCAAACATATGTAGCTATGGATGTGCATGGAAGCCAATATATTTGTCTTCTTTGTTTTGTGATTATTTTTAAGGCTGGAGGAGAATTATGAGATTGCAGAAGGTGTCTGCATTCCTCGAAGTGCCCTCTACATGCATTATTTGGATTTCTGTGAGAAAAATGATACCCAGCCTGTTAATGCTGCTAGTTTTGGAAAGGTGAGTATGAACCTTTCCAGCAACTTATTTCAGGAATTTAAAAGAGAATAGCTATGTGATATAATAATAATAATAATAATAATAATAATCATCATCATCATCATCGGATAAAAATCCCAAAT